AGGGGATGCAGAATGGAAGAATAGGATGCGCTCAGAAACAGAGGCAAAATACGGGTGCAGAAATGGCCTGCATTTGTTTTCTATGTTAAGAACATAAGAGACGCCAATGTTGGATCAGGCCAAAGGCCCATCCAGTCCAACACTCTGTATCACACAGTGGCCAGAAATACCAGTGCCATCAGGAGGTCCACCAGTGGGGCCAGGACATTAGAAGCCCTCCCACTGTTGACCCCCCCAAGCACCAAGATGACAGAGCATCACTTGCCCCAGAGTCCCTATCTATACCTTGTGGCTAATAGCCACTGATGGACCTCTGCTCCATATGCTTATCTAATTCCCTTTTGAAGCCGTCCATGCTTGTAGCCGCCACCACTTCCTGTGGCAGTGAATTCCAAGTGTTAATCACTCTTTGGGTGAAGAAGGACTTCCTTTTATCCGGTCTAACCCGACCGCGCAGCAATTTCATGGAGTGCCCACCAGTTCTTGTATTGTGAGAAAGGGAGAAAAGTACCTCTTTCTCTACCTGCTCTACCCCATGCATAATCTTATAAACCTCAATCATGTCACCCCTCAGTCGTCGTTTCTCCAAGCTAAAGAGCCCTAAGAATGTTCTTGCCAAAAAGCAGTAGACACGACCTGCAAAAGGATGCCTGTTGTTCTCTACTGAACAAGCTGGCTGTTGAATCTATTATACTTCAATTTTTGCCTTTAAGCATGAGCCTGGGACAAACAATATCACATGCTTTGCCTTTGTTTCCAGACGGTTCACCAGTGCAAAATCCTGGACTATTTCAATGATGTGACTCTCAGCCTCTCAAATTCATATACCCTCAAAAAGCATAAAGTGATCATGTTGATTTCTTTGATGCTCAAGTTCAAAATTAACCTGTACCAACCTATTCCAGATCTACAGTTCTGAAACATCCAGCACGGTTTGGGCTCACCCAGATATCCGGCTTCCTCCCCTGTACGCAACTTTTGTGAACGGAGTGGCGGTAAGGAAACTCTCTGAATGCTAAATTCACTTCTTGGGGTGGTGGGGGACTGCTTTGAAGATTGTGAAGCCTTGGATAAGTGTAGCAAATAAAAATGAAAAAGGTGAAACCCGGGATCCAGTTTGCTACTTTAGGCGTGCCCAAGGGTTTGGATGCCCAGTAAAGTTTTCAAAAATCTTTTCCCACTGAATAGCAAGTTCTGACCTCACACTGGAAACGGTTTAGAAAGTTCCTTCGTTGTTGCAAAACTGCTTGGTATAAGAAATGGGGAGGGGCTGTGGAAAAGGAAACACAGCTTCACACGTATGTTGAACTAGAGCAGTTCTTTGGATCACAGCCAAATGTAACACACACACACACATTAGCTAGTTGATGGTGGGTTTAAATATCTTCTGCTGCGTGTGCATAACATTGTAAGCTACTTGGAGTGTACAAATGAGCGAAGAAAAGCAGGTTAAAAGTACCCCAAGTAAATATATAAAAACATATATAGACAGGAGTCATTTCCTGCGGGAGCGCACAGGAGCGGAGCTCCGGCAGTAAGGAGTCCAGGGGGTGGGCACATGCAACAAGCCCCGCCCCCTGCTCCCAGCAGCCCTCAGTTGAGCCATGAGGAGCAAGAAGCAGCCAGGTAAGTTGCAGAGCCCCCCCCCCCGGCC